CAATCTTTTGGTCATTCTTCCAAATTACCAAGACATCGTCCACGTATCTTTTAAAATACACAATGGCATTTAAGAAAACAGAAAGAGCACTTTTTTCCAACCTTCTCAATACAAGCTCACATAAAAGTCCTGACATGGGACTTCCCATAGGGACTCCTCTTCTTTGTCTGTATCGACGGCCATTAAATGCGAAAAAAGATTGATAACAAATAAGGTTAGCTAGTTCGATCAAATCATTATTGTAACCCGCCAAATTTGGGCTCTTGCTCAGCATGAAGTCTAAAAGTGCTACTCTGCATGATTCAATTTTTATAGATGGGTATAAACTTTCATAGTCCATCACTGTTCCAATTTCATCCTCCATTAAAACTAGATCTTGTATCTCATTAACCACTTCTCTTGGATCATGCGCCACATGTATATTATTCTCGAGGTGCGAGGTGAGAAACTTATGTAATCTCTTTTCAAGAATAAACGTTGGTCCTCTGCACCTTTCCACTACAGGTCTCATTTCTTTACCCTCTTTATGGGTCTTAGCAAAAGCAAACAATCTTGGCATACCTGGACTGGAATTTCGACAATTTTTGAGAAAAGGTAATGCATTACTCAGCTTAGCCTTTTCAAGCTTCCTAACCCTTCTGTCGATGCTTTCAATAACATTTGCTTCAACACTCTCGCATTCGGTTTTTTTAATGTATTCCTCCATCGCGTTATTATATGTCTGTCTTTTCATAATTACCAAAGCTTTGCTTTTGTCCGCTCTTGTTGTAACCAAATCATTTTTTCTAAGCCAACCTTTAGTAAGTTTGATGTTTTTACCCGCATCACATCCCTTTTTCCAAGTCTTCTGGTCTTTTATGACCGCTTTCCATCGGATGTATTCTTTTTCTAAAAAATCTAGCCCAGATATTCCTCTCTCTATTTCTTGTATCGAAGTTTCCCATGAACTTGAATTTTCAGGGACAAAGTTTGGTCCCCATTTCAGAAAATCCTTGATTTTATTCGGGACTTCTATTTGGTCCCACAATATGAATGTTGAAGAATTGTTACATAAATTTTTAATACTTTTTCATTCTAATATATTTCATGTGCAGATACAGGGGCTTTATAATAGTCCATACTTTTTCATTCACATCAAATGGCGTTTCTGCCTATTTTTAGTGCTAGAGATAGGCCTATTATTATTATAAGTTTTAGCATGCCAAAAAATTTTGGTCAGAAATTGCCCCAAGGGCATACCAACAATATTTTGCCTTCATAAATTAATTGCGTCTGATTCTTTAGACAATAAGTTCACTATATATTCCTGGATATCTAACTCATGCGGAATACTATGGTTAAACGACGTCAAACAACTTTTTTTTGGAAGCATTAACCTGTTTATTGTATGCGAAAGAATGCATCTTACCGACATCATTTAAAGGAAATTGATCGTGTTGTTCCAACTTATTAAACGCAAACAGAATTTAGAAAGGGCGTTCTCCGGTTTTCTTACTAAGGACAAAGTTAATTGATTAGCCAATTCCGAATTAGCGAACTTATCTTCGATACACTTTAACTGCAGCACTAACTGTGATTCTAACTGCTATCGTAAGGATAACATTCCTTCTTTATCAATGTTCGAAGGAGATTGCCTTTTAAAGTAATGCTTTGGCTTTGAACATTTAGCTTCCGGAGCACTTGAAAAACGATTATGCTCACTATCTTTCCAATCATCTTGGCTCTGCATCTTGGCAATCCTTCTGGGGGAGTTGGAGAAAATATATTTAAAAATATAGGTTTATAATAACACAAAACAAAGCAATAGGATAACTAGACGTAATAGATTAGTTCGAATAGCATATCCGTATAGTTCTCAGTTAATTGGTATCGGATCCCTAACCGAGACAGAGTTTACAATCGGATGGGATGGGAGGTTGATAAATACCTTAGAATTTTCAAAGCTAAACTTTTTCCTAGGGACTTCAAGAAGGTTAAACAAACCCTTAAATTTTCGTAAAATATTATTTCTGATGCTTTTCCTTCGGAATATGTGGCATATCTTCGTTGAAAAAACTGTCATAGAACGGGCTATTAAAAATTGTGCGATACTAAACTAGAGAGACTGCTTAATAGAATAGCTTTTTAACCTTCTCTAATTGATTCATCCCCAGATGTTACGAAATTTTACACTAACACTATCTTATGTGAATTTGATTATCTGTTTTCTTTAGAGAAGGAAGAGATAAAATACTCAAAGCCAAATACCATATATGGTATCCGGAAATACTAGATAACTGTCGGTGTCTATATGTATATTATCAACAACTGCCGTTTATTATAAAGAAAAGGATTGCTCAGATTCGACTAAACAAGTATCGTTTAGTATGGAAAAACGTGTGCGCTCATTAGTAATCTGAGTTTATTGTATGCAGAGTAGTGCAACTCTGAAACATTATTTCTTTGATTGTTAGAATTTGGCTCATCTTCGTTTATTAAGTATCAATATCTAAATAACTGATAAAGAATATAACCTTTGCCCGAACATTCAATTTTGTTTTCCTAATCCGCCGAATAATGCACCCTTCATTTAACAATCTTGATTTCACTTACAACAATACAAAGTTTTAATTGTAAGACATTATTTTAATTTTAAAATATTTCAGATACTCACACAATATAAAAAGCCTGACTTCCTCTATGTATTACTGTAAACTTACACAAACAATTCAATTTGTCNATTATTTTGTGTTCTTCTAAAGCCTTATGACTACAGAACACTTGAAAACATATAATGCAATTAAATGGGTATAGATCGTGCATTGCACGATGAGCATCCAGGTTTGCTTCCGTTTGAAATTGACTATTACACACAAGACAAATCAATGGTCTGTATTCAGAATGAGTGGGAAGATGCTGAATGAAATGATTTGGTTGTTCGAAACGACGATCGCTGGAATAATCGCTGGAAATTACATTTGAACAACCCGTTGTATTGTTACTTGCTTCCATTCCAGAGAGGAAATTTTGATGGGGTATTTCACACTGGTGTAGTATCTGCCTCAAATGTCTTTTGCAATGACAATCTAATACCCATTCTTCAGGAAAACATTTATTACATATTTTGCATTTGTAGGTTGTTTCTCCAGTGTATTGTTTTTGATGATAAGTTAAAGAGCTGTTGTGCCTGTAACGTTTATTGCATATTCTGCACTCGTAGGGCTTTTCTCCTGTGTGAATTCTCATATGACAATTCAAATTGCTCTTAGAAGTAAAACATGCATTACATGTTTCACATTTGTAGGGTTTCTCTCCTGTGTGGGTTTTCATATGATATGTTAAACCCTGTTTTCTAGTAAACGATTTATCACAAATTTCACATTTGTAGGTCATTGTACTATCTCTGTCTACCAATACCTACAAAGGAAACAGTGCATTTTAGTGCTATTCATTTATATTGCAATTTTTCCTTAAATTACAGTTAATAACTATACATACTGATAGAAATTTACATGTTTCAACGTACAATTTATTATTTTGACAATTCCCTACATTAAAAGTTATTTTTCAAAATAAACACAATAATTCCCATATTCAATACTGTAATTTTATGTTGTAAAATGTGGATATTTGTGTATAAAAGTAAATTTCAAAATAGATACAAGTTACGTTATAGTATAGTGACAGACTTTTTTTTAACTCTTTCCACCCTGTGGGCACTAAGAGGGCCTCTTTTTGCTAGCCCATTATGGGTTCGGCCAGGCCCACAATAGGGCTGACGGGTGGTGAGGTATAGTGACAAACTGCTGCCATTTTGATTTTTTTTTCTGAAATTTGTGGGACACCTATCTTCATTTTAATTTTAAATCGTTTCACATTTTTGCTTGCAGAGCCATGTGATATTTAGCGAACAATTTTGATAACTAAATTTTGTGTGAAGTACGTTTTCACATCCTCTGAGTAGCATGTACACAAATTTTGACATATTTGTTGAAGTTACAACGTACACAGAATAACACATTTTTAATCAAGATTGAAAGATGTGATTGTACCTTACTCCGGATTCATATCCTTTCAAAGGTGACACATTCAGATAAACTTATCGTTCAAAATTTCTCTATTGAACGTGGAACTTAAAATTAGCAAAAGTGAAAGAAAATAAAAAGGGAGGACTCCCAGATAAAAGAAAAATCGATGACAACAAGGCAGTTCGCAGTCTCGAGTTAGTTGGTCAGTTAAGGTTTGTTATCTCGTTAGTCATTAGCCTCGATCTTTTTGGACAGTTCTGCAGTTCCACTATTTGAATCATCGGACAAATTATTCCCGGATTTACATCTACATACTTGCAAAAGCTATCCCCAGTTTTGGACATCTTACCATCGCTTTGCAAATCTATAAAATCTTTGGAACATCTCCAATGCCATCCATTACCCCTCTTGAAGTCCCTAAAAAAAAGTTCAATTCTAAAGTATTTATCAACCTCGTGTCCGATTGTAAACTCTCTCTCGGTTAGGGATCCGATACCAATTAACTGAGTTTGTTTGTTTGTTTTGTTAATTTATGGCAACGCAACACTTGGGCGATCCGCCTAGGGGGGATGGATGCCTTCTGGGAGGTCTTTTAAGGGAAACTGGCCCCTATGTAGTTGTTACAGACGTGGAAAGAGCCCGGAAAACCCCACGTGGCCAGCCCGCCCGAGCGAGGCACGAACCCACGACCGAACTCCCAGTGTTCAGGGTACGAAGACCACTCGGCCACTGGTTAACCTACTAATTAACTGAGAACTATACGGATATGCTATTCCAACTAATTTATTACGTCTAGTTATCCTATTGTGTTTTGTTTTGTGTTATTATATGCCTATATTTTTTAATATATTTCTACCAACTCCCCCATAAGGATTTCCAAGATGCAGAGTCAAGATGATCAGAAAGATAGCGAACACAATCGTTCTCCAAGTACTCTGGAAGCTAAATGTTCAAAGCTAGAGCATTACTTTATGGGGCAATCTCCTTCGGACATTGATAAAAAAGGAATAATACCCTTACGACAGTATTTAGAATCACAGTTAGTGCTGCAGTTGAAGTGTATCGAAGATAAGTTGGCTAATTTGGAATTGGCTAATCAATTAACTTTGTCCTTAGTAAGAAAACTGAACAACGTCCTTTCTAAATTGTGTTTGCGTTTAGTAAGTTGTAAAGACACGATCAATTTCCTTTCAATTATGTCGATGACTTGCACTTTTTCGCATACAATAAACATGTTAATTCTTCCAAAAGGAGCTATTTGATGTCGTTTAACCATAGTAATCCGCATGAGTTAGATATCCAGAAATATATAGTGAACATATTGTCTAAGGAATTAGACGCAATTAATTTATGAGTGCAAAATATTGATGGTATTTCCCACGGGCAATTCCTGACAAAAATTTTTTGGCATGCTAAAACTTATAAGAATAATAGGCCCATCTCCAGCACTAAAAAATAGGCAGAAACGTCATATGATGTGAATAAGGAAGTATGGACTATTATAAAGCCCCTGTATCTGCACATTAAATATAATATAATTAAAAAGTATTAAAAATTTATGATAATAATCAATTTTTGTAGATCCTTGACATTAAGGACTCAGGGCTTAAGCCCTACTATCCCCACGTAGATCCGCCCCTATACACAATACACGTATGTTGACTGGGTACCACAAATATGACACTGACTTAAACAGCTAACCGCTAGCTGCCAACATAAAAGCTAACACAAATGGTAAAAGATTTTACGCGTTAGAATAATTATTATCGGCATATTTCTTCTCAAATAAAAAGTATATTGAGATTCAAAACTTTTTCTTAAACATGCGTCAATGTTAAGCAAGCGCTGAGTATATCTCAACTTCATGTATTGGCTTACGCTAGTTTAAAATATCATTTAGACTCCATGCATTTTTTGAAATTCTTATGGTTTTGGTACTAAGCGTCTATTGTTCTCTAAAAATTTGGCACCTCAGTTCAAGTATTTCGTGTTGAATCGCTCCCATTTTCTCATCATTTTCCAGTGAGATATATTTATCTACTGGTAATAGACCCCCTTTGATAGAGAGGTGTCGTTTTGCTAGGACCCATTTTGTTTGGAGTAATTCCAAAGTTGAAATGTTCCAGGATGCTTTCACAATAAAAACTCTGAACTCGAACTTGTCGATGATTTTTACAACTTAATTATATCCTGTCTCCCCCTATGGAGCCTTTCTGTTTTGAGAACATCACCGACTCGATAGAGTTGATGTTCTTCCGTCGTTTTTCTGGCCTAGAGAGATCGATCCCGCCATACGCAATTAGATCTGAATTGGGCCTAGATTTCCCTCCAAAACGTTTTGTTAAAAACACCCTTATTTTTTTCAAAAATATTTTTCAAAAACTATACGAAAAGTGATACTAAACTGGAGAGACTGCTTAATAGAATAGCTTTTTAACCTTCTCTAATTGACTCATATTCAGATGTCACGAAATTTTACACCAACACTATCTTATGTGAATTTTTTTCTTTAGAGAAGAAAGAGATAGGATACTCAAAGCCAAATACCATACGTGGTACCCGGAAATACTAGATAACTGTCGGTGTTTATATGTATACAGTAGAACGTCGTATATCCGAAAGCTGGTTATCCGAAACGTCTGTTATCCGAAAGCATTCCAGTCGGCAAATTTAAATTTTCGCTAGTGCTGTGGCGCTGCATACTTCGGCTATTTCTTGGGTTACTCAAATATTTTACGTTTTTGATACTAAATTAACGTCTGAAGTATAATTTTTTTATTGATTTTATATCTTTCAATAAATTTATTTTGTTTGTACAAAATAAAAAAATAATTTTTAACGATACAATAGTCTTCGTTAGGCTTAAAATCGACGAAAATTCAACGCGAAGCGACACGCAACGGAGAATAATTTCAACATGGGATAAATTAATATATTTTTTCGTATATAATCGGTTATCCGAAACATCGATCTTCCGAACAACCCCAGTCCCCAATTGATTCGGATAAACGACGCTCTACTGTATT